ACCACCGGGATAGATGAGTTTTCTGCGAACAAGAGCAGAACTCCACGAATTCCAGAATTGGAATGGTAACTCAACATAATGGTCATTCACGGTTAATTAAGTGATCTAATTCCGGGATGAGTTGGGCCAATGGAACGAGTAAGATAACGAATAAAATGATAAGACGCGGTATCTGACCTGAGGATAATCCTAAATAGAACGGCTGTGGATATGATGACAAAGTTCTGCATCAACGTGTACACCGCCTACGAACAAGGATACAGCAATTATACAACTGTCATAGAGAGGTTTTCAGTTGAGTGTCGTAAAACCAAGCTAAGGTCATTCCCCAGTATTGCATTGCGCATCCTTACTGTGCATAATTTCACGTGATTAGTGAGCGCGCATTAAAAACCGTGCAGCTCCCACTAGTTAATCTAGAGTGACGTTTCCGAGCTTTATCAAATCTGAACTTTGGGAATTTAATTTTTGGTTTCATTTTTGATGGCATTTGCCACTTTTCTCGGCGTACAAATGCAGCGTTGGCTTCCTTCACAGATATCCTTGTGAACTGTCTTGTCACACACCCTAAGGTCTGCGAAGAGGGCTAATGCAACATTTGCGTGTGGTGAAAGTCACTTCAGTTCACTTGGGACCGGGGAAATGTGTACTTTTAACTTACTGCAGACAAATGCAACAGAATATAAAATCCTATCAGATTGTCGCNCATTTGCGTGTGGTGTAAGTCACTTCAGTTCACTTGGGACTCGGGGAAATGTGTACTTTTAACTTACTGCAGACAAATGCAACAGAATATAAAATCCTATCAGATTGTCGCAGAAATACAACAGTCCTGGAACCGCCCATTTAAGAAGTTCACGCCAATTGACATCACAAACAGACACAACCTCTCCAGCTGACTTTCCCTCTGTAAAATAAAGATGAAAAACAATAATGATAAAAATACACTTGTGACCATCTCATGGATTATATAAAAATGCGGGTGTACTCACGCATTCATGCCAATAGCGGACAGGTACTTTCACAAGAAATGCTTAGTAGCTTCAAAATATATAGTTGAAACTATACGTGAACTATACAGTCGAGCCTGGCTGACTGAGCCCTGTCCGTATCATGGAGGTGCCCGTCTTATATGGTGGAAGCGATTATATAAATCAGGTTTCCTTGGAACTAATTGAACTGTCTATGATGTAGTTATGTAGGTACCATACGGAGAAGTTCAATTTGACAGTCGAACCCTGTTTAAAGGAGCTCAGTCAAGGTATTTTGAGTTATTTTGGCCACGTACAAAATTACCTTAAAAGTGGAGGAAACCTGAAAATAATAGTTTATTAAGATAGAAAAACACCAAAGGGATAATAATAAACCATAAAGGAACAAGGATGGTTAAGAATGGAGAAGATTAACGCGGATGTAAAAACCGTGGCGTGACTCCTTTAAATGGGCACGTGAAGGACCACTAAGTGTCCGCCGGCAGTTTTGAGGTGTCTGTATTAAGTGAGTGTCCGTAAAACCAGGCTGCAGTGTACCTCAGATGACAATTACTGATCTAATAGTTGATCAACGGAGTTGACGCTTCTCCCTTACCCTTGCACAGTAATAAGTGAAGATAAAGACTGCAGCAAACAAGTAACTTGAACAGCTCGGCAAAAATGTTGACAGTTACAGGAAGATACTCGTATCCACCACCTGTTGGGAGAAAACGAAACTGGATCAGACCACGGTACAATGTCA